AATGTCACTCATTTTCCTAGAGCAGGAAAAATCCTGAGACAACCAGTAGCTATATAGCGCGATGGTTCCTTAGTTCCTCCACCTCCTCAGGTGTTTCGTTCTTCATACGGGTCAGGGCGTCAGCTTTGCCGTTTAGATTTCCTGGTTGGTATTCAATTCAGTAATTGAACTGTGACAGAAATTCGGACAATTGGGCTTGCCAGTTGTTTAAAAGCCTCTTGGTGGTGAAGTGCTTGAGATTGAGGTAATCTGTCAGGATGGTTACCTGTCTTCCCAGAAGGTAGCATCGCCATTCTTTAAAGGCTCTGACCACGGCCATGAGTTCCTTATCGTAAATGTCGTAGTTGCATTCAGCAGGACTATGCTTGTAAGAATAGATGGCAACAGGCTGGAGACGTCCACTGTCATCCTTTTGCGACATAACACCAGCTGAGACGAAGTTGAAGGTATCGGTTTCAATGATCACTTCCTTATGGAAATCAAAGTGGATGAGGACAGGGGCCGTGGTAAAGGCCTTCTTTAATCGTTCGAAAGCACGTGGACATTCAGGGGTCCATACAAAGGGTTTCTTTTTCTTGGTAAGGGCAGTGTGAGGGCGCGCCAGACGTGAGAAGGCACGGATAAACTGTCTGTTAAGAATCCTACTGGGTAGGACCTAGCGACAGGTAACGATACTTCTCTGTAAGGTGATAGCTCTCAGGCCTATGCCTACGCGATCTTGATAGTCCAGTCCTTTGACTACTATCGTACTCATGCCTATCTTCTTATTCTTCTTCTTAGTCCTCGCCTAGGACTTAATCTCTTCTAGTGAGAGGAAAGACACTTCTTGAATTTCTTAAGATAAATCTTAAAGAGCGTAAAGGTAGGTTTTATTGATAATAACTTAGAGGTAGGAAATAAACAAGAAGAACGTGTGAAGAGCTCATACTTGGGTCTTAGTGACCCTTTATATAGTCGCTCTTCACCTGGCGTAACTCATACCTCGCATCACGCGAGTCCTATGACTCATAACCATGAGTCATATGTAATCCATCAGACGACTCCTATGAGTCGCTGCGCAACATACCTAAAACCAATCAAATCATAATAACTAAATCAGGTCCGCAACTCGCGACACCTGAGTGAAACCCATGACTCATAAGTATGAGTCATGTGCGAAAATCATAACATCGTGTGACTAACAACTGTGAGTCACGAACAGGTAAACATAATAACCTATAGCGTCCTAGTGTGCGTCATGTGAAATCCCAACATACCTATAACTCGGAAATCCGAGTTATGTGAAATCTGCCTTGCTTAGTCACAGTTTGTGACACTCACATTCCCAGCAATCATGGAATCTCACTCATTTTCCTAGGAGTAGAAAGAGACTTTTTTTCTTTTTTTCTTTTGTTTAAGTTTCAGAGTAGTCGAAATAGGGTATCTATTTGCTTGGCATATGGAAATTGGTGCATAATTGGATTTAAACATAAATATATAAAGAAACTTAAGATGTCATCATGGAATCTTACTCACTTTCCTAGCCCAGAAAAAAATTTGACAACAGATGGGTTGGTAGACTACCACTACTTAGATACACCAATTCCTTAAGTACCTTCTGTTCTTAGAGATATCCAGACCATCAGATATCTCTCAGATATGCGCCTGCATACCCGCCTTGTCTACCATCTGACCTCTTGGTCTTATATATAGGCATAGACATAGGTTACCATAACTCTATAACGCAGGGTCGTTACAGACTCATGGTGGTGTATTCAACTGTTCTGCCTGACAGAGGTGACAAATTGGAGCATAAATCATTGAGGGTGTGGCACCCATGCCTGCCTCCTACTACTCATAGCAGTAGTAGTAAACAGCTTGCTCTTGTACCTCAGTCAAGATGTGATTATTGTCCCCATACTTATTGAAAGTTCCATGAGAATTTTGTACCTGCTTGTACTCATATTGTTGGCAGGATCAAATGGATGAAGAACTCATATTGAAGCATTGTGCAGCTCAACTTGCAGTCTCATTTAGCTCCTTAGTCAGCCATTCGAGTGCTCAGTTTGATTGTTCTTTTATACAAGACATATCTGCTATGGATGCCATTGGTGTGTAGAATTTAATATCTTTCAAATGTTGAGAACTTGAATGAAATTGAGTTGTGTGATGAAGAATGAAAAGTTGATCATTAATAACTTATATTATGTACATGGAGCTAAAAAAACTAATAAACTAACAAAAAAAAAAACTGCCAAGTTTGTTGTGTCCAACTTGCTTTTGTGTCCCACTTAGTTTTCCCGACTACGAGCAAAGCAAAATAGAAGGGGAACCGGCTATTAAGGGTTTTCTTTATACTATAGCTTACTGGTGGTTGCTGCATGTGAGTTCTTGTACCCTAAAAAAGAATATACGAGTCAATTAAAAATTTAATCTTTTCCCGGTTATCTTTTCTTCTTTATTTAAGTTCACTAGTGCAAGCAGGAAATACTTTATTATAGTCTAAAACTATATTGTATTCAACTCTTGCTACCAACTTAATATCTTAAGACTAGTGTTAGAGTTACTAATATTTTCAGCCCGGTCACACGATAGCTTTCCTCTTCTTGTTAGCTACCTCTCACAAACCCCTATCGATATTAATTGAGTTATGTCGCAGAAATTTCTGCGGTAACCCCCGCCTAGCCCAGCCCCCGCAAAGCCTAGCCCCTAGCACTACTGTCCTTTCTTATTCCTGATGGCTGTGATTGCTAAACTGGGCACAGCGGGGAGGAGAGATATCATGGTATGGATCAAGACCGAATGTGAGGAGAGAGGCGTCGTTCTTGTCTTCCTCCTGAAGCTCCACAAGTCCTGAAGCTTCAAATATAGACTAAATACACTAAAGAGAGGAAGCCACCACTAACAGTGCCGGTTCCCCCAACAACATACAAGACAGTCACGGCAACAACTGGGAGCTCATAGCCCTAAGATGTACAGCAATGCTCCCCCATACATCTCATTATCAACACCATACATTTTCCCCCGTACTCTGCTATTGGGATTATGCCATCACTTCCTAGTGTAGCGGTGGCGGCCTGCCACAATAGGGGAGAGTGCCCGCTGAACCCTATTTGGACCCGCGGGGGGGGGAGGTTTAGAACTTTCGACTAGGGATGGCCAACTACCAGTATTTCAAAGAAGATAAAAAATGGTCCCGAAAAATCACAAAAACGGAATGTGCCATGCTTTCCTCGATCTGGCTAAGCCGACCCACGCCTTATATTCCATGATCGACATTGTAATGGAAATCCTATGAAGTCTACATGTTTTTCTTATTAAAGGTATCCTTGTTCCTCATTTCACCAAGGCCTCCGGTTAGGAACTTTAAGCATTTACAGCTGCCATGTGTATAAATTCCATTCAATCGCTTCCTCCGCCTGGCGTTCAGGAGGTCACACTCTATATTTTGTGGATTGCGTATGATTTTTGATGTTCGATTCTCTATCCGTAAGCCGGGCCCGTCTTTCGATATTACTACAAGAACCCATAAAATTTGTCTTCCGCTCATAACTACCCTGCACGCATCAGCTGACGATGGGTGTGCCTTTATGGGTGCACTAGATTGCAGATTCCCGTTAACGACATCCCATGGGTCCCGAGCGATGATCTTATATCACACCACCTTCTGAAAACGATACCCCCCCTCCCGATATTTTGTCTCTATATCGATGTATTGCCGGACTTAAGGGACTTTTTGCAGATTTCAAGCGCTTTCGCGGTACGGGACAGTTAATCCTACTTTGAGAATTCACGTCCCCAATCTGTATAACATCTTCTAATTATCAACTTCTCCTAGAGGCGGCGCCCGCGGCACGGGAAATTATCACTAACCCTCCCATCAGCGTTACTACCGGTGCTACGAGATCAGCCGGGCCGACCGCCACCACCCACATTTTCAGTGGCGCCTGATTCTTTGTGCTCCCAATCGCAAATGCGGCTTTAGGAAAAAAGAAATGTTTAGTACCTTGCTGCTACACCATTTTGCTTTTTAGCTCCGTAATGCAACAAAAGCTTAATCCATCCTCAGTCCCGAGAGGTGCCGTGCTCTAACTTTGCAAGTTTTCAGTTTGGTGGATACATTCCCCTGATCATCCACTACGATCTCCGGAAGCCCGAGGGAGTCCTACAAGCACCTCTATAAATTATTCCAGGCCAGGTGTACCATGAACATTTGTTTATTGAAACAACGAGTGATTTCGCGTGATAAATTCCAATAGGGCGTCCTCCTCGGGTCTTTTGGTGCACATGATTCCCTCTTCAACCGCTCAGCGTGATCCGGAACCGCCTTCGATTGAGATAGTCACAAGCTGGAGGCAAATCAGGGAGAGCAGGAACAGTTAAGGGGTTCCCTGGCCCTCCACGTGCTGTGAAATTCTGCACGTTTGTCACGCCCCGATGAGCACCCTAATATCGAGGACAGTAAGATATCACTATGAATGGTGCCCGCCTCCAAATCGAATGACCGGTGAGCGGAATGTATTCTGCATGTTTCCTACAACGCCGCTCCCTATCTCCAAATACCGAGGATAAGAGGGGTGTTGTCCAGGGGGTGCCCCTTGCTTACCATCGGCCGCCATCCACTGCCACTGAAGTTCTCCGATTTGGGAGATTCGATGGGTCTGTAAAGACACACTTTCAGGGTTGACTGGAGAGCCAAATAATCCAAATCTTTTTCGGACACGTAGGTCTTGTTGGCAAAGAGTCTTTTTATCTTATTTATTTTTTGCATTTTATCGTTAAGACAGCATACCAGCCGGGGGGGGTTTGCACAGTTGCCGCCAGCCGGGGCTTAAGCATATATCCGTTGATGCAGGCATGGGCAGAGGCAGCCTATGATCATGGATGTCGCGAAAGATTTGGGGAATAAGGCGTCATAGGGTTGGCCGTTGGTTGGCTGAACTCACAGCAGTGTCGGGACACCGCAGCAATCTACGTCCGCAATTTAATGTAATCCTCCTTGCCTGCCTACCTGCCTACCTGTTTACCGCATCCTCCACCTCACCCTCACTTACGTTACAGCCAGCCATCCACCAGGAACCGGGAGACTAATTGCGGCTGTTCTCGCTGTGCACCTCGGGCCCTGCAATGCCCTTGGTCAAATTGAAATTCAATAGGCGGTGAGTACGACTGCTTCCTTGGACAAGTTGCCCATGGACACGACCCTCGCATTTAAAATCCCTTCGATAATGACCCGCTTAACACCATCCGGGAATGGAATGATGCGATCGGATGTGAGGCTCTATTAGGCTTGTCCTGACTATATTTCGCGCTCTCGCCCTCGCCACCTTGTATCAAATTCGGGGATAAACGATTACTGAGCTCTCCACCTCCATCCTTGACGTGTATGATTCACTTTATCGGGCAGTTGCCATATAATTTGACTGTCTGCTGAGAATCCCCTCCCCTTATCCTCTTTCCCTCCCCTGTTTCCTTGGCTCACTCCACCGGGCCGGCATAAACCCTGGTTACTCTTCCCACATCAACATCATGGCCCCGGCCCGGATAGACCACGTCGTCATCCTAGTCCCCTACGCAGATCTGCAGAACCCCCCATCCTGGATAACCAACAACTTCACCCTAAGCCCGGGAGGGCGGCACTCGGACGGCAAGACGGAAAACAAGCTAATAATCTTCGAAGACGGCACATACCTGGAGCTAATAGCCTTCATAAACGACAACCCATCCCTCCGGCGAGGACACCTCTGGGGCCACAAAAAGTACGGTTTCATCGACTTTGCCTTGACGACGAATCCAAAAGACAGCTTCGACTATGCCGGCCTTCGCGGCCGCATCCACCAAAAGTCCGGCGGGCTGGGTATCGATTACGACCAACCGGTGGAGGGCGGGCGCAAGAGGGCGCAGGACGGGAAAGACGTTCGCTGGAAGGTGACATTCCCCAAGGGCGAATCACAGGTCGGCGGTCCCCGCGGCGTGAGTCGGCGTGGGGAGATCCCCTTCTGGTGTCATGACATCACGCCCCGAGACTTGCGCGTTGACGCGACGAAGGAGCGCACCACGCACCCCAGCGGAGTGAAGGGAATCGCGCAGTTCACCATCCTTGTGCCGGATGGGCAGGAAGCGGCATACCTGGACCTCTACTCCAGCATTATGGACTCCCCGCCCGTGCAGGTTTTCGGCACGGCACGCCTACCGCTTGACACACCGGTTGATGTGCCCGGGCTTGTTAGGCCGTGGGTTTTCGTGGAGTCGCCGACGCTGGATATCGAGCGGCAGAGGCTGAGGGACCGGGGACCGGGGATTGTGGAGATTGCGTTGAGGTTGGGGATCGAAGGGCAGGTTGGGGTTGGCAGGAGCTCGATCGATGAGAAGGGGATGTGGATCCATTTCTTGAAGTAACTGCCAACGTTGTTTCTGTTCCGCTCTTTCCTTATTTTCCCCCTCCTTCTCTTTATTTCCCGCGCTTGTTTTGCGGGTTCAAACATGCCTCATTTTTCCATGCTAGAGCGTTATGCCGTATAATTACGATATCATCTCATTTCAATTCGTGAATCTCACCTTGCCCCTGTTAGACGTGAAGCCCATGACATATCCGATGTCGAAGCGCGCCGTGAGTGGTCCCGGACGACCGCTGCAGCAGCTATCAAATGGTAGATTTCCATCATGCGTCCTCACACTGCTCTAGCCGAGCCCAGCCCTCTATGCGGTCCCCCAGAGAATCCTGGTTCATTTTTCGGGGCAACAGGCGTGGGAGTTGGGCAGACTCCCAACCGTACTGGCAGTGTCGGGATGTTTTTAAGAACTACTGCTACATACCGGTGATACCACCCAGATCCAGGCAGAACTGCCGGATTTTGGCGGTATGCAAGAGTAGTCCTTTTCAAAAACGCTTCGACGCTACGGGTACTAATTCTGTACCTGCATTCCCCTCTTAAGAATTGGCCTGGAGCCGTAATGGTAGGGAAATTCTGGAGAATGCTCGGAGGAATCCAGTCTCTGAAGACAATGCTGTAAACTAGCCTCCAGCCCAGTCACGAGCACAGTACTCTGTACTCGAGTGGTCCACCGCAAGCCCCGGTCCATCGCCACCTCTCGCGGGCCGTGGCGCACACAAGGTTGATACATCAATTCCTTCCACCTACCCAATCAAGCATGAGCACCCACGCGATCGATCACGGGTGATTGACAAAGCTCCCGATAGGTGCATCAATTAACCCACCTATAACTGTTCAGTTAGGATCAAAGAGACGCGATTCGCGAGTTGTCAACCAAGATTTTTCATTTGCCCATTCATCAAATTCGTCAAGTTACTGTACTGTACAAAAGGTATCGTAAGTATGTATGATATAGACTAGGCAACGATTGGCATGCCGTAACACCCCAATCCATCGTATAATACACAGTGAAGGTGAAGCCATCGGAATAACAATCAAGCCTTATAGCCCACAGCGCCATCCAGGCTGGCTCTCTCACCGCTAGCCCCTCGTTCCTTCCTTTCCAACTCCTCGACTCTCGCCCTCAAGTCCAGATTCTCTCTCGTCAAACCTTCTACAATCTTTTTTAGCTCCCCAATCTCTCGTCTATCCCTCCCCTCCTTCCTCTCCCGTTTCTCGACCCTCCGCTTTGCCTTTTCTATATCCTTGCGATAGCGGTCCTCGCGTTTTTCTACCTCTTTTAGATGTTTTTCTAGCAATTTCTTTTCCTTCTCCCCGTCTTTCGATCGCTTCCGCTCCTCCTTTTCCATTTGCTTCGCCAACTTCGCCGATAGCTTTGACTTCTCACGAAGCAGCCGATTTAGGGCTTTTTCTTCGTGGGTGGTGTGGGGGTGGTGTCGGCTAGCGGTCGTTGCCGAGGTGGTGTGAACTGATGACGCTGAGGAGGAAGGTGGATATATGTTACCCGTATACGAGCCTATTGAGATGGCAGTAGTGAATGTGTTTAATGATGTTGTGTCGAACCCATCGTCCGAGGCGTCGTTATCGGAGGTCGAGCCCGTTAGTTTCGTCGGGGTTCCAGAGGGAGCAGGCGTGGATGTTGCAGTTGTGCTCGGTGTGTATATTACCGAGGGCACGCCGGAAGCTACACCAGCGGAAAGGGTGTTGATGGCTGAAGAAATTAGGCCGTGACCAGTTGCTGGATCTTCCCTCCGAGAATCAGGATCCGTCGCACCGGTATCCTGTTTAGACTCTTCATGCCTTTGCTGCCCAGGTATGGCTCCTTCTCTCAGTTTATTGGATTCACCTATGCCAGCTCCAGCACAGGCTTCCCCCGCCTCCTCCTCTTCTAGATAGTAATTTGCCAGATCCTCATGCTTTCCGGCCCAATCTAGAAATTTCTCGGCATCCCTGACAATGGATCCGGGGGTGCCGCGCTCTACCATCCACCTTGGAACACTTCCGCCGGGATCAGAACGACTGATCATAATCCATTCCACGGGGTTGTCTTCAAGAGTTTCCACCGGCATATCCGCGCCTGCTAGACTTCCTCCGGGCGTGTATTCCCTGTGACCCCCCTGTTCAGGGCCATCAGCGAAAGTGATCGTCTGTCCCCGCTTTCTTCCTTCTCGGTCATCTCGCCCTTTATCCTCCGGAAGGTTTGGCACACTCCGAACCCTCTTCATTACGGGCAGGGCACACCCATCGCGGAGATCAATGTGTGGGTTCCGTTGGGCAGGGGTCTCTCGGATGAATTCGACCGATTCGTATTGTCCGCGCACGTATCCACGGCGTTCGGCGCACTCCGGATGGTCGATCAGCGGACGCGATACCATCGTGAATTGCCGGGACCTGCTTGGTGGGCCTCCCCTAGGTTGGCCAGGCTGCGATAGATCTTCCAGACTCGCCGAGGATGTCAGACAGGCGGTTACAAAATCTCTGGGAGCCGAAGGCCCGGGGAATTGTGCCGACAAGTAGTTCACTAGATCACCATTAACACGGCCCCGAAAAAGAGAGAGAGAAAGCACCTTCAATCTGGCCAAGTTCATACCGCCTCGTCTCCACTTGCCTCTCACGTCCGATACCTCTCACGTTCCCTCTCTCTTCCTTGATGCCCTTGCCATCACCCTGCTGAAACTCTCTCTCGAGGGCAGCCCTGAACCTCCTGAACTCAATCCCAGCATGCACACTCCTCCGGGCAAACCAAGCTCCCTTTCCATCCCCTGGCTGTAATTTGAACACTTGGATCCCCAAAGGGTTCTCCTTCGCGGACAACGTGACGGGTCTCCATTCCTTTTGCAGCTCCTCCACTCCACCGGGTGCAGTCGGTGCCCCTTCCCCGCCCTGTGGAAGGGAGGAGACAATAATTCTAGCATCACGAAGAGAGTTGGCCAGATAGCCCTCCAAGTCGTCCTCACGCGGCAGCGAGTCAACACTAGTTGGCGAGAGTGACTTGAGAGCCTCAGCCAGAGCGGCCATGGAGACAATCCGAAGGCTACCGAGGGTTACAGAGGCGAGAGGTGGTTCCGAAAAGCAACCCTGCGCGGCGGAGGACGGAAAGGTTAAAGAAAGGGGGGATGGGTAAGGCACCACTATAAAGCAGTGGTGGAGAGAAAAGGGGGATGATCTTGGGGTTGGGGTTTCGATGGGATAAACGGTGAGGAAGGCCTTTTTGAGAGTCCCCGCCCGCTTGGGCTCCCGCCACGCGAGATGCAGTGTCACAATGACGTTTGGGACAAGCCATTGCCGCGTGGACGCTGTACTTATGAGTACCGTATTATACGAGTACAGTACAGTGCGATTACGGTATGATGCCGGTATCATAGTCTAAGCCACCCATTGATAACATGAGGGGAGAAACGGTAGGGTACAGTATGTATGATACTTGTAAATTTACCCTCCAGTCCCGGATGCTCAGCCGCCTCGACGCCATTGGTGGCGGTAACTGGTGGGGTAAGCTCACCAGACAGTCGTCGTCGGAACTCTGTCTGGGTACTGTACTCGAGTAAAGTACGAGTATCACAGTGCGGTACTGCACGAGTACAGATGCAATGCTGTGCCATACCCTACCCCTATCGCACTCAAGCACCGCTACAATAAAGAACTCCCTTCTCTGTCGTGGCAGCCCTTACTCGGCGGGTGCAGTCAAATGCTGGATTTCTGGCCGAGCGGCTGTCAGTTACTGCTGCTTGTGCTCTGCGGTAGCCGTAGATTACCATGTACTCGAGTAGTGTGGCACACGAGTACAGTACGAGTACAAGTACAGCACACCGGTTCTCTGGAGCAGAGCCCAGAGTGGACTGACATCCCGGCTCCCGATTACTGGCATCTCTTTCCGAAACACGGCTCCCGGTGAAAACTCTGGAAACCTCTCCGACATAAATCCCTCGTCAGATCGGTCAGACGAACTGCGACTGGACACAAAGCTCGGGACTCGACTCTGCTCGGGCACGGTGCAGTGCTCGATGCTCCCGGACAACCAATTCTGCCCTCGCGGCTGACTCGATCCAAAGTTGCTAAATTGGGAACATGGAATACGGTATCCTCTTGCTGAGAGGTGTCCTGCAAACCCCTTTTGCAGTTGTTTCAGATAACGAACTAGAATTGATATATCATTTTTCTCTTCACCTGTCCCTCCAGTAAGTTGCGGTGATTCGGATCCGAGTCGAAGATGTCACATAGACTATCTCTACCGTATTGCAGCATGATTCCGATCATTGATTATGAATGCATCGATAAGATAAAAATAGCAATCATTAGATGCTTTCAAGGGGGGTTCTCCACACGATTACCTGGGGAGTTATTTTTAAAGGTTTTTCCCTCGCATGTTAATAATCCAAGAAGTTTGGGTGGAGGGGGGGTTTTTAATCTACGGTAAGTCGGAGGGGGGGGTTTCCGCCAGGGGGGGTTTCCGTATTCTCCATACAACCAATGTATGCCACCCAACCCCCTCGATTTATTTGGGCACCACGTATTCAATTCTGATGCGTTTTCTTTACTCTCTTCAATTCTGTGATCCTCAGCACCGTGGTTCACATACACAGTGAAAAAAGACTTGCACAACGCTTGTGTACAGGTGCTATGAATGCGCCGAGTCAAAGCTGGGTGGGGGGGTTAAGGCAGAGAATTCAGCTTCGGAGACCAATTCTGAAGGGTCTACCACTGAAAGTCTTATAGAAATAGGTGGTTCTGATGTAGATAATTCGAATTGAACAAAGGGGGTAGGTGGTAAACACGGACCAATACAGAAGTTACGGAAACCCCCCCTGGCGGAAACTACCCCCTCTGACTTAGCACCTACCGGTACGGTACTCAAGTCGTGTCAGCAAGTGATGCTTTGGTCTCTTGACGCAACGAAGGAGAGGAAAGGTTGCCACCGATGTTGTGTTGGGAGCCGTGCGTGCGAATAACTTGGCACACCTCACTTATGGGGTGAGAACAAATGAGGCTGAGTGGATGAGAAAGGTATTACTCGAGCATGCAGGGAATATTCCGGAAGGTTCGACCGTTGGTCAAGATTACAGTACGGTATCCTCCCACCGTGTATGAGTACCCATACTCGAGTGGACTATCGGGACTCGAATAGCCAGTGCCGTGGGTCGTTGCTCCTCTCATCACGTAATGGACCCCCGTTTGAGGCTGTCATGAACACTTTGCTTCGGGACTGGGCTCTCTTTCTACGAGTACTCGAGTACCGGCACTGCACTCGCGAGCGCTACTTAGGCAACATCGGGGACTCTCACCAATTATTTCCGAGACCACACTTCTTTGGCACGGTGCTGTACGAAGACCATCCCCACACCCGGCTCCCATGGTAGGCATAGCGTGTACCCGACCCGGATATCTCGAGCGTGGGGGCCGTGAATCAACAGAATTTACGTGCGAGAGCTCAACATCCAGAAGCCTCTGGTGCTGAGATCGCCTGCCACTAACCCCATACACAGGGATCGACCTCCCCTCTGCGGTACGGTACTCTTTGAACAGGTTTAGGCGTTGCCCGCCGGACTGACTTTTTGAGCCCTAGTTCCTGTTATGGACCGCGGTTAAGGCCAAACGTCCGTCAGAGCTTCCTGGGTGTAACCCAATTCCCCGCGCAAGCATGATTGCTTGTAACGGAGATACAAGCAAGGTTCACAGGATTCCAGGCACCAAACACCCCTCATTCCCCTAGATTCCCTTAACCACGCACCCCAAAACCTATCCTCTACCGTACAAATCTACCCCAACGTCCAGTGATGATTGACATCGCCAGATATTGCGGAACCCCACTGAGACGCGCTTGGGGGCGACAGCGATGTAGATCTACCGGTACCGGCTTCTGGCCAACCTCTCATATCGCCCGGAGCTCCCACCTTTCCCCCTCGTTCGGCTTCTCTATCCTCTCGCTCAGTCCGCCGTATTCCAGTATCAGATGAGGCAGGCATTCGCCCCATGGTCCGAGTCGGTATAGGGTGACGGGTATTATCCCGCCCGCGGCGAGGCTAGAGGTGCTACGAAGCTAGGAGCTTAGGGGGTGGACGTCTTGGAAAGGCGCCGGGGACGGTCGCGAGTTTCTCCGGCCCGGAGAAATGCGGGACGGAAAGAAAAGTCTTAGGGATCCAGAGGGAGGTGGGTAGAAAGGAAGGCGCAGTCAGGGTGAGCGCAGGTGATGGGCCGGCCCGAGGGATACTGCAAAGACACAATCGTGGGGTTTGGGCACCGCATTGTTGTGGTGGCTCTAGCGGTAACCTCAAATAGTAACCACGCGAAGCAACCTCCGAGACTTGACAGCCCTCCATCCAATGGGAATCCCGTACACTGAACTTTCCCCACGAGCCCAACCGGCACCGGGCCCGTGTTTCCCCGGGGGCGTTATTCAATCCCACCCAGCGGACCCGAATACAGGGGGATATTGGCACGCGTAATAGTGCGCAGCGGACACATGTGAACTATCGGGGGATACAGTGATATGTCTGGAAGGGAGAAGGAACTGATGACAACCAGCGCTTCCTGGAACCCAATTGGCACCTCAACCAAATACATGATTCGATGAACCAGAGGCAATGCATAAACCAAAGCCCACCTCCAATTCTCTACTGTCGTCTCTCCCTTTCCAAAGCATCCCACCGCACGGTAGCCGAGCATCAATACCGGTATGGGGAATATTCCCCGGGTTTCCCCGTGATGAGGAGGTGGCGAAGCAAACACTCTAGTCTGCTTGCAGGGCAGCATACCCGGCTGGCCAAGGAGAACCCCTCGGACAGCTGCCTATTGAAAACTAGTCGGCCAAGCAGATCTCCATCACAGGTATAGAACGCCCGTTCTCCCACAGAATGTTTCAAGTGTTGGACATACGTGGACCGTTACGCACCCTAGGTTGAACCTTTTCCTTATCTGCCCCCTTCTTTCCTCCCCCCGCTCGCTTCGCTCCTTACTCACTTGGTCCTTTTGATTCCTTTGCTTATACAGCGAACTCTCGCCCGGTACTTGTTCCGCCCTGCCTTCCCCTCTTCTTCCATGTACCTCTCAGTCCGTGAAACATTCGTTCCAATCGCTTCCTCTTCCCATATCTCCAACACCCAGATCAGTGATCATTCATGATGCCGAGGGAAATAGTCTATCCCAACCTCGCATCGCGCATCCCAGCACGAGACGCCCGCCCCCCTCCGCCCGGTGTCGAGGGCCCGGACCGGAGGGTGCGATGCAGGCCATCTGCCCTCACAGGGACCCGAGGACAGATCCACAAGATCAAGAGTTACAAGTACGAACGTATCCCCCCACGAGGCCAGGGACATTTGGGGCAATCTCCAAGCCTTTTCAAGGGCCCCCCGAACACTCCGCACTTGAAGGATCCAAATCCCTGCCGGTGATAACAAACTTCCGCCATCCATCCAACCACCATGACTAACTTATACCCTCTTTGTTAATCCGCATCTTCCTTTCACTGCACTCATCTTCTGTAATAACACGCGATATCCCATATCGCAAACATGTTGGCGGGTGAACAGCGCCCGATGATACCGGCGCTTCAGGAGTGGATCCCCGGATAGAAAACCACATTGAGGCAGTAGACTGGTTATTCCTGGACACGACACACACCCCGAACACATCCTCCGCCATGACACAAGGCGGCGGGGGCGATGAGAAACGGCGTGAACAAGGCGGGTGGTTTCAACCAACTTAAAATTTGTAACATCCGCCAATTACAGCCAGAACTCGACAAGAAACGAATGCCGTTGAGTGCGGTGCGTCGGCGTAGCACATGGCCAAGGAATCCTGATATTAATGTCGCGTGTGTTAAAGTACGGTCATATGCCACTAATTGGTTTTCTTGGGATAGAATGGGTATATTGTTTATTTCAGGCCGGTTTAGAATCTTTGTCTATAAATACGGGGGAGATTCCCTTTGGTTTAGAGTGCTTTAGCGAAGCTTGAAATAGAAACTTAAAGTTACTGATATTGCTATCTTCATATCATATCGCTACTGCGACAGTGACTTGAAAGCCGAATCTTGTCGGTGTGTGGAAAGTATTTCTTCGGTGTGGCGGAAGTATGTTCAGCTCTGGACATCTGGACCCATCTGCCATCCCTCTGTGCACGGGCGGTCCTCAGCGGGAACAGGTGTGGTCGCCTCTAGCGCATGTAGCTATAGGACAATAGCAGAAATCGACACTCTTTGCTCCCAATCCACAACCCACTACGGTAAGCGTTCTAGAAGGACGATTGAATGTCGCCGACTATTCTGGAAACCGTGGGAGTACGGCGGATCATTTGCGAGCGTTGTGGATTGTTCTGGAGGTGGGACGAGATACGGAGAAGCTCTCCGAGTCATGTCTTTCCACTGTTACCAAGACTGTATGGAGGAAGAGGTATATGTGTGGTGGGCTATGGGAGGATCGGAATATTTGTTTCACTTTTACGAATACTCCCGCCCCCACCGCTTGTTTTGTTTGGGTGGGTGAAGGGGGGAGGAGACGAAAAAGACACGAAGTTTTGACTATATCTTTCTCACTTCCCAAGTCCAGAGTCATTCCTTCCACTGCACGGCTACTTGCTAGTCACCCCATACAATTACTCTCTCCTAGATACCTGTTTCCTCCTATACCCCTCAGTCCTTACTTTCTCCTCAATCTCTCACTCTGCATACCCGACCTCTAATGGTGCAAAATGAGTCGGAGCACGAGTGACGATCCGTGACCACGCTTTCGTGTCAAGCCCCCCCCCCCCCCCCCAAACTACCGGTCATTCAGCAGAATTCAGCAGAGTTAGCGCTCAAAAGCAGGTGTGGCACGCTTCAGCGGCAGTCGGGCACCAAGCCCGCCCTCCGCAGAGAGCGAACAGATATATTATACTGAAAGTCTGAATCCCGTAAATCCAATGACAAATTGATAACTTGGTCTCCTTTTCGATCAAACCCTGCGGACAAGCCTTTCCTCCAAAGGAAAGCCCTCTGAAAGCTAACAAATTACCTCGCCAGCTCTCCCACTTTTGCCCCCCCCCCCATCGCTCAACCGGTTAGACAATTCTCCTCTTAGCTGGATAGCCACCAGCACCACTAACTACCCATTCTCCCAGGCAATTTTCAGCCCACCCGCAACCTCCCTGCCCATAACCCATCCAATAGCCATCTTACTCTTCCACCCAAACCCACCAGTCTTATTCAACCTAAGGATGCCCACCATCCTGCCATCGCGGTAGAAGGGTTCGACTTTCCCAATTACCCCTTTATGGGGCCCCGCTCCGTAGTATAGCACAAGCATGCCGAAGCGACGGAGGTGATAATGCAGACGTAATCCTTCTTACTGTGGAGGCGGAAGTTGTTTGTCTTCTTTCGTGTCAATCCTGGGGATTTTTTTTTTGTTGAGTTAGTTAGGGTTTACCGTGGCCGGCCACAGAAATGCCCCGCAGGTCAGAGAGGGACTAACGGGATTTCTTCTGCCTTGTCCCCTTCCTGAGAGGAAGAAGCACTGAACACAACCGCACGACGAACGAAGACGACTGACAACAAGAGCGGAGATCTGCACCTGCGTCTAGAAACTGAACCCCCTCTGTTTGCCCCCCTTTTTTCTTTGCACTGATTCAACTTGTACTCGAGTACTGACCTCTCTCGGAAAATGGGTTTGTGCATGAAGGCTTCGATTGCCTGTGTGATACGCAAGTGTTCGACAAGTAGTCTACGACTACTTGTTCCCTCTACATACAGAAAGAAAAAACATCTGTGACTGCCATCCAAACCCTCGCGACAGGAAGAAAACACACCTAACCAGAGTCACAACCCTGCTATACAGAACATGATATGCCCTCTGGCTGAACCCTTGTATCCTGCCCACAACCACCTGAGATTACATCTCTATCAGGGCGTTTGTGGGGGGCAACTTTCAGAATCGTGCTATTGCCCTTATGTCAGTGTCTAGCCGTATTGGTGGGGGCGAGGTGCTTGCTTTCGGGGTTCGAGGAGTGCCCGGAGTGCCTGCGAGCCGGGGAACTCCCGGTTGAGCTAGGGGGCCATGCGGGAGACCGTCAGGCCTCCGGAAAAGACTGGACTATTCAGCTAACAGAACAGGGAAGCAGTGACGCGATTTGTATTAGGGCTACGGGAATGTGCTCCAGTAAGCTTCCGGCGTGGCTTATTCTTCGGATATGGTGGGGTAGGAGGTAGCACACCGGAGACAATCAGCAAATACCCAGTGGAAGAACCCTTCGAAAATCTTACATGTGCATGCTCGCGAGCCTCGCCCAGCCATCAGAAATTTTCTGGTGATGCGCATAGGTCAATCGGCCTAGCCTTCTCCCACATAGTAATCCCAACCAGCTTCTTGGTCTTGCGTCTTACCGCGGGCCCCCACCGCGGCCCCCTGCGCACTTACAGCACCCGTGACCATACCTCCAGGGTAGGGAACTGCTAATAGAGGACTTTCCCTCTTGCGCCGGATTCCGTGGGTGCTTTCCGGCCGCAATTGCAGCGGAGCTGGGAACGAAACTATGTGTTCCTGTTCGACCGCCCCTCCGTGGGGCTTTTCGGAAGCCCCGGTTAAGCTGCTGTGGCTGCCGGGTGCCCCTACAGTGGGTTTCTTGGGCCGCCGGACTTGGCGTTCACAAGAGGCAGCGGCGCCGGTGGGAAGCGACACCTTCTCGACGGAGGGCATACGATCAAGACGATCGTCATTCTAAAGGCAGCCGGCATGGGGGGGTTCATGAATCACGCGAGATAGTATGCCTATGGCTACTCGAGTACAGTATGTGGGAATAATATCTTACGACCTTGGTTAGGCAACTGCAGCACAGAATACAGCCGTTATCCGTGATTGATTCCGGACCTCAGCCGCGCAATGTGTCTGCAAACGCTGCAATACCAACAATCTGCCATAACCAGTTACCAAGCTTGCACGTTTTGCAATGGCTGAACGGAGTGCAATACTCACCGTAGTCATGTATAGCCCTTCAATATTGCTCCTCAATTTATCCTTCTTTGAAAACTCGTGCTAGTCTACGATGTTGAGATCCAAACCTCAGGGAGGAACAACCTAGGCGGCTTTACCGTGATATATTTGCGGATGGAGTTAGCCTTTGAGCACTCCCATTCCGAATATTGGTCACAAGCTCACCAAACCCCCGGAAAAGGGCCCATAACTCCTCACGCGGTAAGCCGCCAAGGGTTGAGGAGCGCGTTCTGCATACCCATTCCACCCCGAGTCCATGACCTCAGGTCCCCCCATGCGTAGTCTCAGCAGCTCCCTTCTCCTCATGATCTGTCACCGCAAGTGCATGACTCTCTGTCGGCGCCGCGCTAGTTGATTCGACCCCTATTGCAACTGGTTTCGAAACGGCGACACCTACTCCACCCATTCGGGAGACCACATGCCCTGACAGGTCCGTCGCGCTCTTTTGACTCATTCGTGTAAATGTTACAGGGTGTGCCGATATCCCAGGACTCTAGGGCAGGGTGACCAACGTTCCGCATAGTGAGGGGAGGGGGTCCGTGTTTTTTTGTAAAGGGATTTACAGTATTCAGTTGATGCCAGAGATATAAGGATTTCCCGGCCGCCTCACCCGGTGCTCGACCTAACTTGCTCTTTCGCGGCTGGGTTATTGCTCTACCATATCCACTTTTGGTCCATTAGCGACTGCTGGCAATCCCTCGTTCGGGACCTTTGGGACGCACCGTTTGGAGCTTTATTCGATCGCAGTCACAGTGTGCCCCGAGATTTGACGAGATTTGGCGAGAGCAAAGTGAATGCAGATTCAAGCCGCTTACATAACAATATCCTTGATATTCTAATCCTTGTCACTTGGCTTGCCGTGGCTCAGTCCACAAATGATCTTATGTGTCAATTGGAAAGTTCTGCAGACACTCCACAATGAAAAAATGAAAAAGGAAACTATGCTTTAGCTTGGGGGTATGACTAGAATAACCAAATTGAAAGGGAGAGAAGTAACAATTATTGCCGACCTTAGGAGGAAACACGTGGCGGGAAAGACAGATATAATCTCACTAAAGCATGAAAACCCAAAAAGCATCTCGAATCTGCTATACTAGTCTCTACTCCCCTAACTCTCTTTACCGCAAAAGAAAGGGGAGTACGGAGAATATTCTCTGCAATTCCATGCGGCAAGTGAAGCACATATATTAGCAGATTTCCACCAGCCTCGAAGATTTAGACCGGAACGGATCGTAGATTAGATTTTAGAGGTTCCAGTGAAGACCATTTTCTCGATAGGAGCAGCCTCCTTACCCCAACGCGTCCCTCCTCCTCTGCTGTTTTCAGTTCATCTCCGGCTTCGTTCTCGAACTCCCGCATGACATAGTCAAACCCCACTAAATACAGCATTATGTTGTGAAGTAATAGAGCCAGTGTCCCGCCTTGGCGGGCTAATTCTTTGGGGAAAACGCGGTTTGTCAGAGCGCTGTACACTCCCAGCATCAAGTTGTTCGGGAATTGCAACTCGGTGGCCCGTGGTTTGAGTAGGCGGAAAAGCTCCTGGCGATTAGTTGTGGGCGGGTTTCTGAGAATCTCCTTGAAGACGTCTAGAAAGTCGAATATATTGATAAATACCCTACTGAGAATCTGGAACCATATCTGTGTTATTAGTAGATCCCACAACTCTCTTGTCGGGTTTCCCACGGAACATACCTTCCTCGCGGCATTCCTTCCAGCGGGATCCTGTCCCTTGCCATATAGTCCGGCTAACACCTCCCAGGGCGTTAATCCAGTAATTTGGCAGAAATCGTCGAGTATCAAGTTGAACACCTCCTCGACAACCGTATAGAACTCGGCGCGTAACGACTCGAATTCGGGGGATCTTTTCCACTCCCGACGCTCCTCCACGGTCAGATCCCGGCCGATTTCGTGGTGTCGGTACTCCAACCACTCCCACCTTTTGACACTCTCCAGTTTCTTGAATTCAAGCTCGGGCAGGCCTCCCCGGTACCTATACCCAGGGCATTGCTGCTCCCGCAGCCAATCTGCCAAAAGATCCACCTCCTGAATGTCCCAATTTCTTGGACCTGTGGGCTCCGAGGCCGCGGAAACTGATTGCTCTTCCGCATCCAATAATAGCGCGTTTTTAAATTCTTTCTTGACCTTTGACAGTTTCTTTTTCCCCCACCCCCTCAGCTCAACAAGACGTTGAAACTCCTGCTGCGCGGGAACATCCAAGTCGTAGGTGAATAGATGGTATTCGTATTTTCTGAAAAACTCTATGACTTCGGGGCCGGCCGACCTCCCCTTCGAATCCTGCTCCTCTTCGAGAATAAGCAAGAATTCGGCTTCGTGTCGTCTGATCTTCGAGAGGCCCCATAGCCGGGACTCGCAGAGACGTTTGAATTCTTCGAGGGCAGGCGCATGTGGGTTGTAGGTGTACTTTTGAAAGTTGAACCGGCTGAAAAATTGTGCAACTGACCCATCCGGAGTCGACATCGCTATATTAAAATGTGAGAACCCGATTTCAAATTATCGCACTTGGGGACCCAATACCTTGGGTGGCGCACTGACAAGCAAAAGAATTTCCGCTGCCGTAATCCTGTGCAGAGAGGCCGGTAGGATTTATCTCGGATGGTACGGGGGTACAATCTTGGTGAATGTAGATACGGTACTCGTGCTACTCTTACTTACTTGTAGGGTGGAGTGGGCGGTACATGTATCTATTCATAAATTAATACTGTATGATACTGCACCATATGAGCCACCGTGGTAGGCCTAAATATTTTACCTAACCCTAAAGTCACGCCTCAAACAACATCAGGGTTTTGCGCATGTAGGATACGGTGCCGGCACTGTGCCGCTTAACGTTGCTTCCAGATATGGAATTCAAAAGCGAGCAGTGGCATCTGCTACTGTATTATGCCATCAATTTTTCGCACAATACGGGTACCGGTATCTGCTCTCCCCGCATCGCAGTGGGTCTAACCATGCAAAGAATGCCTCCGGCGATGGAACCAGGGAGGTCAGAAGCGGGGGGAAGTTAGAATCGGGACTTCAGAAAATTGGCATCCGGGCCCCCCAGTGCCCGAGAACCAAAATAGCAGAAAATATTTATGGCTCAGGAGCGGTAGTAAATCACAAAAGAACCCAGTATGGCGCTGCGCAGCAAATCATCCTATTTGTTCTATGAGCGAGCTTGAGCCCAACGTATATGGTCCGGCCCTCCAGAAAGACATGAAAAGATTCAGAATGAGGATGATTCCTGGCCGCCATTGCTGCATCCCCTAAAGACCAATATCGGTGTGGTTAGGCGGCCCACCCCTTCTGGGAGATACCGAAGGATACCGGCGGGGTGCTGGGAGAGTGTCTGCGGCGGTTCATTGTGTGCTACCGGTAGTTTATTTGCCTCTTCCTCTTTGCTGCATATCATCATACCGCATTCAAATATCGCTGCTCTTTGTTTTTGCTCCAAGGGGTTCTATCTTACCCCCCTGGCTCGAAAAGCGCGTTCCAACTTCATTGATCCAGCGCCCCCTCAGCATAGTGCGCACCTGCGAGTAAAATTGAAAAACTTTGGTGCTGCACAGTACAGTACCTCCGTAGCCAGGCGCGGTAAGGCAAGAAAGGAAAAAGTCACGTAATCACAAAGGGTCTTGGACCATAATCACAGCTTAACCTTCGATCCCAAGTACCCCCTACCGAACGGGGGTTAAGTGGGTCACAGTATAAAGTGAGACCACCGTCCACAAAGCATATGTGAGCAAGAGAAGTAGGGAAACTGAGGTTCAAGTGAAATACTAGCTGAGGAGAGACCAGGGAATAAAAATCGCCAAACAACTGACATCTTCGGGAGCCAAGCGAGACCTCAACCCGCAAGGGATGAACAAGACGCATAGAGACTCCGGCAGCGACAGGAACTCCGCAACGGTTCCGGGAAGTGATGGAGGAATCCGCGGTCACCCCAAACACTCCATAGCTATCCCAGACATGCGATAGGCACAATCAATATCATCCTCTAACACTAATGCCGTCTGTCCAACTGGATGGTACCAAACAATAGGTTTAACAAAAAACTTGGTGCCGATATTCAACGTCATCCTCTGTAAGGAAAAGAAACCAACGCCACAACCCTATGCCTACCGGCAACAGAAATTGGATATGAAACTGATCACCCGTACCCGCATGCCTCCATATGCGGGTAAACCTTTTGGATACCATGCTCTTGGCAGAAAAACCTTTCGGATACCATCAACCGGGAAACATACAAGTACCACCGAAAAAGTGAAACCTTTGTACTCGTACAAAATTACCTTCCCTTTGACCCGTTATAAACCTGCAACAAAAAAATTTGAAAAATAAATGGAAAAAAATTAAAAATAAGCAAAGTCAGTTGTCATATTTTTAGAATTTTCTACAATCAGGTGGCCTTTCTATGTGTTGTCCTGCTTGTGCTTAAAAGTGGTAGTCTATGTTTCGGGTGGTTCACGCCTTGCCAAGAACTCTAAGAAGATTGCTAAACACCTTCAGTATTACCCAGTTCATCATAAAAAAAAGTTGTGAAATTTTTTTTTAAAAAATACTAGAAGGCTGTGAGTATTTCAGTATTATTTTTAATTTATTTGCATTTTTGAGCAATAAAAAGATGGGTAGAGATGTGTAAATATTTTCGTTGCAAAGGTTTCACATTTTCGATGGTATATTTCCCGGGGGATGGTACCCGAAAGGGTTTACCGCCAAGCGCATGGTATCCAAAAGAGTTTTTCGGTCTAGACTCTGGGAGGTGTACGGTTGATCAAACGGATGCCCCCTGCCCCGTCTCTGCCCGCGACGCCCCACACTTTAGAGGACATCACCTAGCACACTTTCAGGGACTTAGTGGGCCAAGCCCCACTGCCGGTTGTCACTCGCAAGCTAAACCTCTACGATTGCTGCAAACCCCGCTCCAATGGAATGGATGGTATGATACGAATATGCCCAACTGCTGCACAGTACTACTTTGTGCATTAAGATTCATGGTGCTGTGGGAGCTATGTCGATCCATCGGGGGCCGGGCTAGGCGAAGGTTTCTCATGAGAGTACCGTATTAACGTGGTGTGGTGAATCATGAGTAAAAATAGCCAGCACCGAATGCGAGTTTGAGTTAGTTGTTATCCATATCTGGGCATGGGGTCCCACAGCCAGGTTGCAGCTCTACAGTCAACTTCTCACAAGCCAGGAGAGCACGAGCTGTGTGCAATACCGCCACCCCCCCCC